AAAAAAAAAAAAAAAAGAAGCAGCACCAGTTAATTCTAGCACTCTGGGAGGCCAAGGCGGGTGGATTGCCCTGACCTAACAGGTTCAAGACCAGCCTGTGCCAGAGCGAGACCCCCATCTCTAAAAATAGCTAGGTGTTGTGGCAGACGCCTGTAATCCCCACTACTTGTGAGGCTAAGGCAAGAGAATCGCTTGAGCCCAGATGCCAAGGCACTCTATGGGGGCGGGGGGGCGTTGACAAAGTGAGAGTCTGTCTCAAAAAAACAAAAGCACCAGTTAACAGCACGAGGCTAGTTTGAAACAGAGGAAAAGAGAGTTTGAAGTTCTGAGCAGGGCAGGCAAGAAAGACTTTGACCCAAAAAGCAGTTAGGACTTGATTCTAAAGAGCGTCCTCGAGTCCTCTATGTCCAAGGAGCTATTCTGGTTATTGTAGGTGGCATGTGGAGATGAGCAAAAGAGTTTTTGCAGCTAAGGAGCTTAGAGTCAAGAGTGTCCCAGGCCGTTCTGCAGTCGAGCCTGGACTCCCAGCTTCACCCCAGCTTTCTCATTGGCCCTGGACATCTGCCAAGCCCTGACAAACACAAATACAGCCAACCCAGCAGTCACATGTTATATAATTTTAGTCACTTGCAGTAAAGGTGGTTCATTAAATATATAATTAAAGGTTGATTTAATTTCAGTGCCTGGGTAAGAGTTTACTACAAAGAAATTCCCAGATCAGAAGAACTATTTGTCAGGCCATGTGGCTCAATTTTGGGTTGAGAAAATAAGGTTCCCATAACTAACGAGTCGTCTTTATTTCACTATCTATCATCCTTCCAGAAACGTACCTGCCTCCCTCCTTCACATGTCTTCATGTTTCTTCCCGTTTCTCCTGTAGCCTCTGGTGCTGTTGATGGAGTGGCCAGAAGCCACCAACTTTGCCTGCCTGATTGCAGGGTATTGCCGCCTCTTGCTGGATTCCAGGAAGATGATCTTTTCCAGGCCTGCCAACCAGCCTCTTCCACCTCCAATGATCAAGGCAGGTAGGGCTCAGCTTCGTTTTTCAATGTGCCAGAAGCCCCTTTGGACCCTGGAGACATAGAGGGGGTCATTTCTATGCCTTACTTTTCACCCCATGCCGACAGTGCCTGGCTTACAAGTAGTGGGCCTGTAGCACTGTGTCCTACCTGGCATACCCCAGTGGGAAAAACAGTTGACCTTCACATGTGCCGGAGGTGACGCATTGTGATCAAGTCAGTGAATGAATGTGCAATAAAAATAGCAAACAAGTGATAAATAGAGCTAACTACAGAATTGCATTGAATCTAAGGCAAAGCTTTAGAGGTACAGAGATCTAGGGGAGATTCATGGGTGGCCTAGCTCAGCTAAAGTGGGGTTGAAAATGAAGATATAGCTTGGCATGGTGGCTCATACCTATAATTCCAGCACTTTGGGAGGCCAAGATGGGAGGATTTCTTGTGGCCAGGAGTTTGAGACCAGCCTGAGCAACACAGCAAGGCCCCGTCTCTATAAACAACATTATCTGGCCAAGGTAGTAGGTGTCTGTAGTCCAAACTACTCAGGAGGCTAAGGCAAGACAATCTCTTGAGCCCAGAAGTTTGAGGCTAAACTGAGCTGTGATCATGCCACTGCACTCTAGCCTGGGTGACAGAGCAAGAATCTGTCTCAAAATAAAATTAAAAAAAAAAAAAGAAAGGGGCTGATGTCTGTGATCCTAGCATTCTGGGAGGCCGAGGTGGGTGGATTATATGAGCTCAGGAGTTGTAGAGCAGTCTGAGCAAAAGCAAGACCCCATCTCTACTAAAAATAGAAATATTAGCCAGGTGCTGTGGCAGGCACCTGCAGTCTCAGCTACTGGGGAGGCTGAGGCAAGAGGATGGCTTGAACCCAGGAGTTTGAGGTTGCTATGAGCTATGATGCCATGGCACTCTACCCAGGGTGACAGAGTGAGAGTCTGTCTCATAAATAAATAAATAAGGAAATAAATAAAAGGGAAAAGGAAAATGATGATATAATCTTTCTTTTGGTTCATCATAGTAGGGATCAACAGAGCTGGTTGAAATAAGGCTTCTTCTGGGCACATGGAAGCTGGAATGGGGGGATATTGCACAGGCCTTGAAGGAGGCTTAGAGAAAGGAGGGGCTGAGCAGAAAGATCCAGTGCACCCTCCAAACAGAAGGCTTTCTAGTTAGGCAACTCAATGCAGCCACCTCTCTGAACTTTCCTGGTCATGGCACACACAGGGGCCTTAGGGAAAATAAGCCCAGTGCAGGCAATGCCACCTAGAACCAAAGCAGGAAGAGGAGAGGGAGGTGACTCAAAGGGCCGGTGCTCCACCTATCTGGGCTACACTCACGTGTACACTGTGGCTCCTCCCCAACCCCCGCATCTAAACATCACAGGCAGAGCTGAGACTGACATCCAGTAGTCACCCTCTTCTCATGCTGAATACTCTAAACCCGTTTGCTCTTAGGGCTTGGCTGTTCTTCTCCCTTCAAGGCTGTCTTAGTTTTCTGAGTAGTCACATCCAATCTAGATTGAGGTGTTTGAGAGGAGAAACACAAGCCCGATGGATGACCCAACACCCAGAGGGCTTGTGTCCTGTCGCCTCATTGTCTTTTCATCACAACTATCATGACAAAGCCACGTGTACGTTTTATGACCTTGTCTATGGGAATTAAAGAGCAATCCACCAACACAGATTTGGGAAAGGATAGGTGGCCCCCATGTAGATGAAGGAGGCTCCACATAGAAAGACAAAGGAAGTGACCAAAACAGGACAAGGTGGGTGCGAGTTGGTACATGTCCCCAAGTGAATAGCTCTGAAGAGGTGGCCATACTAGCAGCCCTCCGGATGGCCAAATGATGGAAAAGCCAGTGTTAGCATTACCAGTGTCACCTGTGGCTCTCTCTCTAATCATATCCAAGTACACTATACCTCTTACTGAGCAAAGAGGGGGAAAGGGAGAACAAAAGGAGGGGGCTGCAGCCCAGTCAAGGACCAGATGTGGCAGTGATGGTTGTCCACAGGGATCCACTTTCAGAAGGCACTGGGGTGGCTCTGTAGTCCCACCCCACCCAACAAAGGGTTTCTGTCATCTCATTAGCATCCTAGCCACTGCTGGCCCCAAGTATTCCCCTTGCCCCTTGCTCTGGGGATAGTGGCACCAAGCGAGAAACACAGGCTTCCTGTGTTCCTTTGAGCCTCATTGAACACATTCCATATTGCTTTTCCAAAAGGCTAAATCTGTTTCTTTGGATTCTCTATGGGCTGGCATGGCTTTAGAACCCACCTCTCTGATTCCTGAGAGCCCTCTTGGGCCTGCAGAGTGACAGAGCCCAGGCTGCCTCTAGTGCAGGGCCCCTGTGTCCAGGCAGGAGCCAGATAAACCACTATGATGTCCCCAGTATTTGTACTGCTTCTCCTTCTTGGGGTGGAAACAGCTCAGGGTCAGAGGCATATACAAAGCCTCTCCTCTTCCTTCCTCATCTCTTCTGCCTAGAAACAAGAGAACTTAAGCTTGACATCACCTCCCCAGGGTCCAGTTTCTTGGCATTTTAGACTGTTAGATGCCCTTGGTGGGTGGTGTGAGCCTCACAGTTCTGCCCAAGTTCACAGAGTTGCCACTGCCCCTGCAAAGTTCCAAGACTGGTGGGCACATCTTTTCTCATGACCCCTAGGAAGGGAAGGGCCCCACTACAAAGACCTCAGCTCAGATTACAGAGAAGGAATTCTCAGTTCCAGGTCTTGCAGACCTTTAGGACCCAAGTCCAAAGTTAAGTTGGATTTCCGCCATCAGCCCACACCCCAGAACAGCAGCCCCAGTGCCGACTGTTGTTCTTTTTTTATTTGGAGTTGTCATTGTTTTTAGCTGACCCAGGCTGGGTTTGAACCTGCACCCTCAGTGTGTGTGGCTGGCACTGTAACCACTGTGCTATGGGTGCCAAGCCAAGTTCTTTAACAAAGGCCTGTAGGGAACAGGCATCTTCTCAACCCCAATTGGACTTTTCCCCCAGGGTCCAAGGCCCCAGCCCAATCCAGGTCTGGTCTTTCTGGAGGGAGGAAGAAATTGGGCCACCTCCATATTCTTTTCCCATAATAGCTGCCTCCTGGGTACCATTAAACCAGCAACTGAGAAAGAGAAAGCATCACCTTCCTTCAAGTTTCAGGAAAAAAGAATAGGGACATGGCAGGGAAGTGATTTGCTCTTGGGCTTTATCAGTAGCTTCACCAAAGTAGGTACTTCGGACCAGCTGCAGTGCCTTATGTCTATAATCCTAGCAATCTGGGAGGCCAAGGCAGGTGGATCGCCTGAGTTCAGGAGTTAAAGACCAGCCTGAGCAAGACCCCATCTCTACTAAAAATAGAAAAACTAACCGGGCATGGTGGTACGCGCCTATAGTCCCAGCTATGCCGGAGGCTGAGGCAAGAAGATCAATTGAGCCCAAGAGTTTGAAGTTGCTGTGAGCTATGATGCCAGAGCACTCTACAGGGCGACTGAGTGAGACTCTTACAAAAAATAAAATAAAATAAAAGATACTTATTCATGGGAGAATACACACATATGATTAATAGGCTAGTGCCAGCATAGTAAGCACCCTAGCATTTATATAGGGGTTTGAGGGCCCAGAAAGACTCTGAGCTAAGAGAAAGGCCCAGACAAATGGCAATTCTCCACCTGTAACAAGATGACAAGAAAGCCAGAGGCAGCTATCACCTCTCCATGGCCCTGAGCTCCTTGTACCCTAGGGTAATACAGGAAAATAAGGCTTTGGGGACTCTACTTGGGACCTCTATTGGAGGAACTCACTCTTTTTGTTACCATGGTTTGAAAAGAATTTGATCTGGTGAGTAGAATAGTCTAGTTAATGGCTAGTATATATCCCATGCCTGGCTTACCGATTTTCATGTAGTTAGAACTCAGCAATATGCACAGAGTACTGAAGTTCCACTGAATATAACAGACTATTTTTTATGATTCAGAAAGAGCATGAGGTCTTTGCAAGGCCTCTGGGTCATCATTATGACCAATGAACATTGAACTACAGAATACAGCAGGACCCAAGTACTAGAATGCTGGTTGAGTCCATGTCTTATTGACTGTAAAATACATACTGTATGTATTTTCAGCCATCACTCCAGTAGGATCACTGTCCTGTTCTTCGCAAGCATTTTTTCTAAAGTCAGTCTTCTGAGTGGCTGAGTACAGAGGGATAGACTAGGGCAACCCCCTTGGGGGGAGCTGATGAGTAATTTACAACATATTTGCAATCTGGGAAGCACACTGTCCCAGCCATCAGCCAGCTGCACCTGGTGTTACTGGCATTTCTAACCTTCTGCCAGGAAGAGATCTGGGCTTCTCCAGGTACATTTTCTCCTCTGATCTGGAAATTACAGTCCTAAATAGTGGGCTGGGAATCACCTGGACTTGACAGTCTAGTGCTGGGAGATAATACCATCTTAGATGGAGGGAAACCAAACTCGAGTTAGAGCTCAAGTAATTCACTGAGAGGAGTTGCCACCTGCTTATTAGACGTGCCTGGGGAGCAGGCTCATTCCCAGGCTGATTGTTCAGCTGGCTTTCTAGGTGGTTAGCACGTGATGCATCCCCCGGACCTGTGGACAATGTCTTTGAGTAGAGACATGAACTGATAGTTTATACTCCTGGCTCCCTACTCCCAGAGTCTCAGAGGCCTAGACGGAAGGTCATTAAATACTGTTTCCCCAACTGATTCAGAATTCTCTAGATACAGTAAAGTCCCACAATGCCTGAACTGAAGCCACTCAATGTAATTACACTGAATGTATGTTAAAAGGGGCAACATGGTTTTTGGAAAATTACAAGCGCTTGGGATCTGAAGTCAAAAAGACTTGGCTTCCGGTCCTTGTTCCGCCTGCCATGTCTTAACGGCATGATCATGACTAAGTGCCACTAATTGAGTCTCAGTTTTCTCATCTGTAAAATGAGGACAATACTACTACCGCCACATGAGGGAGTAGTAGAGATTGACAGGATTTGAC